TGTTTGGACAGCATCAATGCAACTCCTTGTGTATGTGGGGCATTTTCTTCTTCATGTCCGGAGTATAACAGCAGCTCCCCTGAAGCTAGTCGTTGTTGTCCAACTTGCGTCCAATGTGTTTCACTGATCCCAAGCACCTCTAGGTTGTATCTCCTCATTTCTGCAGCAATTTGGAAAACTCTCCCAGTCTCCCACATTGTGCGAGCATTCCATGTACCTAAGTAAATGGTTGCTCTGGTTGTCAGAAGGGGCATCGGCCTCGTGATTTCCGAAGAAACTCGGCTTTCATCACGAGGCGTCATAATTCTTCTAAACGAAGACCTCCTGACCCCCAGGGCAGAGTTTAAATGGTTTGAATAATTTTATCTGGTTAGCGTTTTTTAGCGAGTTAGTTTTCTACGGGATGGGGTCGCTAACCCCATGCCCAACCCTCCTCCTTTATCCTGGCTTGGGACCGGCAGTAGCCCCCGGATAGACTCCAGGCGGAGTTACTAACTAGTCAACTACGGTTATAATCGGCTATCGTGGTTCTTTAATAAGCATTAGCAGCATGTAAATGCTCCTGTTTAATATGTCTGTTAAAATATCAACCACTCGTGGGTATAGCCACAAGGCAACACGAACGCACATCGGTTTGTAACTTATCCAATAGTTTATGCGAGAAAAGATTCACTGTCGACTTTAAAGTCGTCTTCCTGCTTAACCTCTATCCACTAGAATATTTCTATTTTTGACCACCGCCTGCCTAATTTCCAATTGCCGAGTTCCATGGCCAAACAGAGGATACAAATGCTAGAAATTTACGATGAGTTCGAACTATAAATGTTCTGCAATTTTAGATCTCGGTTAGACTGTTCGTCAGGCAATGCTACGTATTTGGCTTGAATTTATTCTGGACTCGTACTAATTCAGTCTACAACGCTGTGTTAATCGAAGAATCTAATCAACAGTACTTCGTATATAATCCAGATTTCAACTACTGTCCACTTCGTATCTTCATTACTTGAAAGCAAGAGTAACCCAGGCGAGTTTCATAAAATCATTAGATTATTTCGTACTATCTTTATGATGCGTAATAACATTTCGTAGTTGCTTTCATGTTAAGTAGTCATATATTCTGTCACTTCCGTTAAGTGTTAGTCGAGATCATGTACATTTGTGACTCGTTAATCGACATACTATGGTAAAATATATTGCATGTACACGAACAATCTTATTACATGTCCTGAGTAGACACTTTGTCGTACGTAATATGTCACTTAACTCTAGGTAACAAGCTCCTTGCATCAGCCTTGAAAGAAATGGCCACGTTACCTGAACCCTCTAAACTTCAGTTACATTGGTGTTTGCCATTTTAATTAATGTTTACTATACTCCTTGTATTTGCTATTATTTCACACGGTAAATCATGGCTTGATCTCCTTATTACACGACAGTCATTTTAATTCCATTTTCGATTTACTTGTATGCAATAATGGTTTGTAAAATATCTAAACGTCCTCGAAAATTCTCCACGAACCCAACCATAGTTTTCGTATATACTTTTCTCCAAACGTCCAACTGTTACGCTAATAATACCCAAACGAACGTTCAGCGCAACTATCAGTATACGTAAGAACGATGTTACTTAGATTTGACTTTATAATACATCCGAACTATTGTAGTTATTCTACTTCGATATTGGACTTTATGTTATGAAGTATTTCCTCGTGTCTGTTATCTAAAAGATGATTTCGGTACATCAATCGGCTGCTCAACTATTCGACGATTTAAAACCTGTCCAGTTCAATTGGTGACCTGACGACATTATCATCCGCGCGAATCATCAGTTTGTGCAGTCGAGCGAATCTCCTGCACACTGAAAACGACATTGTCGCCTCTATTCCAACACTGACAGCGTTTTTCACTGGTATCATTGACATGAGTTCAGAGTAACACTCTTGGTTTCTTATGGTCTTTTCGATATTTTTCTATTCGCTAATCGAACAAACAAGCACTTCACAGTGCCGTCTTTGCTCTGGATTTGTAGCTTTCGACCCTTACTGACTGCAACAGTAGTCACCGACTTTCAAAACTGACTACAAGTGGATTAATAGCCTCGCATGACGAAATCACGATCACTCTTCACGACTATACTTCTGTACTTACAGTTAGTCTGTTAAATATAGATATAGCTAGAAGTTGTCAACGACACTGTCTGACATTCATCTTTAAATCAATGGCAGTATAAACATCCGTATCGATTGATAATACACTTATCCTACTATCGCTATAGCGTCAATACTCTTGTGGCAAAGTTAACGTTTCTCATCAGAGGAACTAAATTACTTGTCAAAGCTATATACTTCAGCGCGACGTTAAGTTCCTTTTATTATTTCTATGGTTAATGGCTTTACGTTTAACCAACGTTCTACTAACATATTATTACTTGCTGTTTCTCGATCAGTTTCTGCCGCTTCGTTTCCATTTGTCTTACAGCTCGGCAATACCCAGAGGATTCATATTAATCGTTTGGCAATCTCTGGCGCGCGACTACCGACATGTTTGGTACCGATTCAAACGGCCGTTGAATCTGGTGGGAGAGTATTGTAGGGCCAGTGAAATTCCACTGAGCCCTAGCCATTGAATATCGAACAAAATCGTCAATCCTCGTCAATGTCAAGGACAACCAACGCGCATCAGTTAATCGTACGCCATGGACTGGCCCATGCGGCAGTGGTCTTACCTTCGCTTGTGTCTACTTTAACTAATATATTTCTGTAATAACGTCCTCTGTGTTGTACAGTCTTCAAAGCATCTATAGTACCTTGATACGTCAATGGGGTAATCTATGTAAGGTGCAGACCGCGAAGTGTGACTTCGACGTTAGCTAGTTTGTCACACCACTCACGTCTAACTCCAGTAAGCCTCCAATCATTTCGACATAGATCATCCACGCTGGTGATCTACAGTATGTACCTTTATTATTGTCATCCTTGTATGAATATGCATGCTCGGCAAGCCTTACTGCCTACGCATTTATTCAGGCTACTAGCTTTACTATTAACCGCTTAATTGACTCGATGATTCATTAATTTCACTATGTATATATATGTCCATGTTATTCATAATCATGACTCGCTCGCTCGTTCATTCACTCGCTCGATCGCTCGATCGTTCATTCACTCGCTCGATCGCTCGCTCTTGCCCTTGCTCTCTCTCTCGCTCGCTCGCTTGCCTGTTTGCCTTTCGGCACAACTATTTCATGCTTGCTTAACGCATCTGTAATTTTGGATATCTGTATGTGGTCCCCTAATAGACGTAATTAACGCTTCGTATTCGCCTTCTGATTAATATACCGTTGGAGCATTATTTGGTGACGGTTACCGAGACGAACTGTATACGGAGTTTAAGGAATATATCGAACACCGACCACCACAGTCTCTTTCGTTACAGAATGTTTGACATTTCTATGTTGCAGTAGAAATTCGTACACTCTCCTCTCTATTTCATCAAACATTGAATCGACAATAGAATTAATAGCGGTTTTCAATGTAATGGAAAACTTTTTCCCCCTGTCCATTAGAACAAGAGTGTCTGGAAGCAGCGAACGTATGTTTGCACCATATACCATTACAACCAGTTAGTGATTGCACCCGCAGCAAAATGAGAGATATTATCGATCATCAACACCATGGGAACCCCTTCTCGACTAAACACCTCTCTTAATGCTTAGATTGTGAATTCAGAATTTGATAAAGTTCTGAAAGGAATTATAGGCCACTTTGAAAAAGAATCAATGACGACAAGTGTATAGTATTTGCTAATAAATGGGCCACAATGGTCTGCATGAGTTCTCTGCCAGGTTTCAGATGATTATGCCCGTGAAGTCCACTTCGATGGATGACTTTCCGAAATTATTCGTTATATGACAAATATTTGCATTTATTTCTGGCTGTAAACATGTGAACCTTGCCAAGGATGTCGTTTTCTCAACACTTAATATCCACTATGAGGATCTTAAAGGACAGATTTACTCAATGAAGGAGGAATAAACACACTATCACTTAAGCACAAAATATCATCAGGGGTAGTGGATAACTCATTCCGCTTTTAAAAATAGACAAGAATTCTACGTTTAAGATCAGCATTTCAACATTTCCGTAAAGCACTGAGTATACATCCAATGTATCTAATGACACTTGGACAGTTCACTGGTAGAGGATACACTAACAAACAGTCTGAAGTATTACCGGTTCTATCTTGTAGTGGCTGTCGAGAAATGTAGTCAGCGTGTTGAATTCGTTTATCCTTCTTGTACTGAACCGTATAGTCATAGGCACTTAAAGCAATACTCCATCATTGAACCATAGTAGGAACGTGGTAAAGATTTTTCAGGATGATAGATGAACTCTAAAGCTTCATCATCATTAACAATAGTGAATTTCTCTCCAAATAGATATTTATAAAGTCTTTTTCTGGACCGAAACACAGCTAATGCTTTTCGCTGAGTTTGTGAATAACCTTAATCAGCAACAGTAATTTTGCGTGAAACACATAATTGGTATATTTTCCTGCTCCAAAACTTCACCGATATCTTCAGGTGATGTGTCAGTACAGAATGTACTCTAGAGGAGTAAGTTCGAAGTACAGCATCGCTTTGAAGAAACTTTAGTAGACTTCGTGAGTATGAGCCTTGTTGCTTAACTCATTTAAATGAACTGGATGTCAAAATATTAGATAAATAATTGGCACGACAAGAAAAAATAGGAATAAAACGGGAACAGTATTGAAGTTCACCTATTGGTGAACGTAGTTTTATAAGATGTTTTGGAGATGCTTCATTTGTCAGTGGAGCTAGTCATTTTATATCTGATCTAGAAACATTACCATTGTGGAGATGGCATGACAAACTTATTTTGTAAACAGTTTTTGATACTATCTGTATTTATTTTGTTAAATTTCACAGCTTGTACATTCACTATGAGATTGTTGTACTTTTTGTTTATGTGTGTGACCTTGATTATTACAGGCGCTCGATATACACACGCTGTTTTCACTTTCCGTTCATTGTACACTAGCACGGCCCTCGCCGCTATACATTATCAAATACACTTTATACATACCATTGTTATTCTCATCTGCTTAGTGGATATTATTCATAATAATTAATACGTATGTTATCTACTTTATAGACTGCCGCCACATACACATACTGACCTTCGGATTATCATGATAAATGGAATATTAAACGAACCAAAATTGTGGTAAAAGACCACCAGATCAAATCGAACACGCACAAGTAGCTGCATTAAGTAACGTTCTTATATTTTTATTGTATTTATCGCATTTAACTGATATATTTCAATATGAACTCATTGATATCTGATAACCTTGTTAATATTTTTGAAATAATATATTTGGGTGGTCCACCACAGGTAAATGGTGACCCCAACGTTTCTCCAGAGTTAATTAGTGAGCGTGTGTTTATGCTATTTGTTATGCTATTATAATTTTTATTTTATTTTCGGCTTATCCATTCTGTTTATATCCCATACGGCTTTATTTGTACTAAATCACTTACAATGGACTCTCTCCCAGCTAATCCTTTCTCCACATCACAGTCTGAAGATAAAACCCTAACTTCCATTAATGCTATCTCAGATTTTAATCTTCCTGCGTTTGGCATTAGCAATCCTAGGATGTGGTTCTGTCAGATTGAAGCTTTATTTACAGCCAAAAACATACGCGCACAAACTACGAAATACGCATATGTTGTAAGCTCACTCCCATTAGACATAGCTGCACAAGTGGGAGATCTTATTGCTCAAGTGCCTGAAAACGACCCATATGATAAACTTAAAGCCGCGTTGATTCAGAGAACTTCTGCATCAGACGAAACAAGGCTACAACAGTTATTAACCTCCTGTGAGTTGGGAGATAAAAAGCCATCCCAATTACTACGATACATGAAAGAGTTGTCTGGTCCTTATAAATTAGACGAGAATATACTCAAACAACTTTGGCTTCAACGGCTACCTCACAATGTCAGACAGATTCTTATGGTAACTATTAATTCAGCCAACCTGACTGAGTTAGCCGACATGGCTGATAAAATAACTGAAATCTACCCAGATAACCAAGTTGTTAATTCTGTACAAACTACTGGTATAGATAATATGTGTAATGTTATTAGCCTCCAACAACAACAAATAGCACAACTCACAAATCAGATTGAATCACTACGTGCTTCGATAGCTATGATAACCACGAAACCAACTTCGATAATTCCTAGAAAAAGGTCAGGATCGCGACATCGCTCTAGATCTCCAAAAAGACCAACTGGCGTCTGTTGGTACCATCAGAAGTATGGTGAGAAAGCACGACGTTGTACCAAGCCGTGCACTTTCCCTACAAGCAGTCACGAATTACAGGGAAACTGGCCTGCCAGACAGTAATGGCGGCGACTGCTTCTGGCCATGCTACTAGCCGTCTGTTTCACATCAGGGACAGAGTTTCGGGCTCAGACTTCTTAGTCGATACAGGAGCCGAAATAAGCATTATCCCTCTATACCTCTCCCGACGGCAACATATCACCCCCAGCAAGAATACACTCCAAGCAGCGAATGAAACAATCATCCAGACTTACGGGGAACAGTCACTAATAATCGACCTCGGTCTCAGACGACGTTTCACGTGGGTCTTTGTAGTAGCACAGGTAAAACAGCCAATCCTAGGAGCAGATTTCCTTACTGCCTATAATTTGCTAGTAGACGTGCACGCCAAACGACTAATCGACAATCAGACACGTTTACACGTAAACGGCATTACTGCTAACATTTACGAAATTCATGGAGTACGTTTAATTAAGCCGGATAATCAACCTTTCGCCGACCTCTTAACTAAATATGATAGCATCACCAAGGTTGACTATCGAAAGGAAGGCAGTTTACATCACATACTTCATCACATTACTACTACTGGTCCTCCCGTCTGTGCCAAACCAAGGCGACTGCCCCCACATAAGCTTCAGATTGGCAAAAGAGAGTTTGAACACATGACGCAACTGGGTATCATCCGTCAATCAAACAGCCCATGGGCTTCGCCACTACACATGGTACCAAAGAAGGATCAGGACTGGCGCCCATGTGGCGATTATCGAAGTTTAAATAACCAAACGACACCTGACAGATACCCTATTCCTCATCTTCATGATTTTTCGCTTAACTTATATAGAAAACATTTTTTTTCAAAACTTGACCTAGTCAGGGCATATCACCAAATCCCGGTGGCACCTGAAGATATTGAAAAAACAGCCATTATCACACCTTTTGGCTTGTTTGAATTTTTGAGAATGCCATTTGGGTTAAAAAACGCAGCCCAAACGTTCCAACGGTTTATGGATGATGTAACCAGAGGCCTCGACTTTGTTTTTGTCTACATCGATGATGTTCTTATAGCTAGCGCGTCGATCGAAGAACACGTTCAGCACCTACAAACCCTCTTCGATCGCTTCCAACAGTATGGAGTCGTCATTAATCCTTCCAAGTGCATCTTTGGCGCTCCTGCCTTGGAGTTTCTGGGACATTACATAGACTCACGAGGCATAAGACCACTACAGGAGAAAGTAGACGCCATCATCAACTACCCTGAACCTACCTCACTAAAGGCATTACACCGTTTCCTTGGAATGTGTAATTTCTACCGACGATTCCTACCACATTGCGCTGAAACCTTACAACCTCTGACTGACATGTTAAAAGCCGACAACCAAGTGACGAGAAAAACTAAAAACGACATATTCAACTTATCGACCGATGCTAAAACTGCATTCGAGAAAGCTAAATCTCTTATATCCAACGCCACTATGTTACAGCACCTCAACACTGACCCCACGACAAATCTAATTCTATGCACAGATGCATCGCAGAAAGCTGTCGGGGCAGTGCTACAACAACAGGTAAACGACGTCATCACGCCCATAGCGTTCTTCTCTAAACGATTATCACAGGCACAAGAACGTTACAGCACTTTTGGACGTGAGCTACTTGCTATCTATCTTGCAGTAAAACACTTCAGTTTTTTATTACAAGGACGTCCGTTTACTATAATGACTGATCACAAGCCTTTAATTTACTCCTTTAATGTATCATATGATCGCCATTCACCTCGGGAAGCCAGGCAACTTGACTATATTTCTCAATTTACCACAGACATCCAGTATATTAAAGGACATAGCAACGTCGTCGCCGATGCATTATCACGCAGGGATATCAACACTCTGATACGCAAACCAGATATTAACCTCGAAACGCTTGCTAAACTACAAATAGACGATGCAGAACTAGAAGCCTGCAAAGTAAAGTCTAACTTGATCCTTAGACAGGTACCTATCCCTTTCTCCAACGCATCGATAATCTGCGACGTATCAACTGGAAATCAGCGCCCCTTTGTACCTGAAGCCTGTCGACGACAAGTATTCCGACAGTTACACGAACTTTCGCATCCAGGAATAAGAGCCACCACTAAAATGATAACGGAACGTTTCGTTTGGCCTAAAATTAATTCGGATGTAAAACGTTGGACCAGAAACTGCTTACAGTGTCAACGTAGTAAGGTACAAAGACACACATTAAGTGTTGTTGGTAAATTTCCGCTTCCTGACAAACGTTTTCAACATGTTCATTTAGACATCGTTGGTCCATTACCACCATCAAACTCCTTTACTCATATCCTCACCGCGGTTGACAGATTCGCCCGATGGTCGATAGCATGTCCTATTGCAGATACCTCGGCAGAAACGGTAGCAGCAGTTTTTCTTGATCGGTGGATATCTAATTACGGAGTTCCCTCAATTATTACTACAGACCGTGGTCCCCAGTTCCAATCCGTTCTATTCCAGGAATTCGCTAAACTACTGGGAGTAAACCACATAAAAACCACAGCTTATCATCCAGTAGCTAATGGTTTGGTCGAAAGGTTTCACCGCCAATTAAAAAGCTCACTGATGGCACAAGCTGACACGACGAAATGGAGCGATGCATTACCGCTCGTACTCCTGGGAATTCGCTCAACTATCAAGGAGGATATCGGATGTACTTCTGCTGAACTGGTTTACGGCACAACACTTACGTTGCCAGGCCAATTGGTTGACACGGACACATCGACACCAAGTGACCCAAGTCGATTCGCTAGTCGACTGCTACAAACCATGCAGAGCCTAAAAGCCATACCGCCACGGGAGCATAATAACCGCATATATCTTGACAAGAATCTGATGACGTGCAAATATGTTTTCGTTCGCGTCGACGCGGTTAAAAAGCCACTGAAACAACCTTACGATGGACCATATCAAGTAATTAAACGAACTAATAAACATTTCACAATCAACAAAGGTGGAAAGAAGGAGACTATCGCTACCGATAGAATTAAACCAGCTTTCTATGAAACTCAACTCGACAAAGAAGACAATATCACTGATAAACAAAACCTCATGCAAAGTCACAGGAAAGCAGTAGAGGAGCAGGAACCGACAGTTAAACCCACTTGCTTAACACGTTCCGGCAGAGCCGTGAATAAACCTAAACGCTATGTACATTTCACTGATTAAAATGAAAACGGAATTCAACAACTTGCTGTTAATGTACATTATATTGTTAAAAACTCTCAATCTCCTAAATAAAAACTAATATACCCTTTTGGTCTTCTAACACGTACATATATTAAACCACATTTTTTTTCGTAATAACTCGTATAGTCACATTATATATATTTTTTTAACACTATTATTAACGAATTAATTTTTTTTTCCAAAAAAAAAATAATAAACAATTCAACTTTTGTGTGGGTTTATTAATAGTTTTGCACGTTGTTGTTTTTTTTATCAACCAACCAAAACATGGTGTGACTGTATTGCCTATTTTTTTTTTACATTAACGCGTCGTATCATATTAATGTACATGCCATACCATTCTCCACTTTCCTGCATTGCTTTTCTAATTATTATACATAAATGCACACACTGTACGCTCACATATATTTTTTTTAATATAACTAGTGTCACCTCCGGACACTCTGGGGGGAGCTATGTGGAGATGGCATGACAAACTTATTTTGTAAACAGTTTTTGATACTATCTGTATTTATTTTGTTAAATTTCACAGCTTGTACATTCACTATGAGATTGTTGTACTTTTTGTTTATGTGTGTGACCTTGATTATTACAGGCGCTCGATATACACACGCTGTTTTCACTTTCCGTTCATTGTACACTAGCACGGCCCTCGCCGCTATACATTATCAAATACACTTTATACATACCATTGTTATTCTCATCTGCTTAGTGGATATTATTCATAATAATTAATACGTATGTTATCTACTTTATAGACTGCCGCCACATACACATACTGACCTTCGGATTATCATGATAAATGGAATATTAAACGAACCAAAATTGTGGTAAAAGACCACCAGATCAAATCGAACACGCACAAGTAGCTGCATTAAGTAACGTTCTTATATTTTTATTGTATTTATCGCATTTAACTGATATATTTCAATATGAACTCATTGATATCTGATAACCTTGTTAATATTTTTGAAATAATATATTTGGGTGGTCCACCACACGATCAACTAGGTATTCAAGACATTTAAAACTAGATACACAAAATGAACACATATTTGGATTCACTGCAATACGCTTCTCAATTAAACGACACTGTAAAGTAATAAGTCTTTAGTCATGAACTATCTGATGAGAGCCATGAACAATGAAATCATCTTGATAAACTTCAACACTTTCAACATTTCTAACTACCTTATTCATAACTTCCTGAAATATGGCTGGAGAACAACTTAGACCAAATGGAAGGAAGTTGTATTTGAACAGACCATAAGGAGTATTAATTGTCGTCAAGATAGATGAAGATTGATCTAAATAGATTTGAAAATAAGCATCTTTTAGACAAACTTTCGAGAATATTTTAGAACCGTCAAGTCGATTTAGAATATATTTAGCCTCCACCACCGTGTATGTTTGCTTCAACAAACGGGAGTTCAGTGTTATTCTCTAGTCACGAAATACTATAGGGGTTGTGTCATCCGACCTCAATGGAATAATGATAGTGAAGATGCCACAGGCATTTGGAGTTTGACAACGCTCCGTCATGTGGAAATATCAAGTACAAGAATGGACGAAAAAATATATATACCCGAAAACACGGGAAAAAATATCACAATATATATGAAAAATTAAAATACAGCAATAGTATATAAAATTCCAAAAAGGAACAGATTCAGTTTGCAATTTAGTGTACCAGATCACGTTAGGCTCATCAATGAAAATGCCATAGGTATTCGGAGTTTGACAACGCTTTAGCCAGTAACACTTTCTAATATGAATCATATCCACCAAGTGAAATCAAAAGAGAGAAGTGAGGAGATCGAAGATATATTTGATAGGCTATCAATATATTGAGGGTCCTCTGAACTAATCTGGCTAGCGATTGCAGGGGATGTTGAGCACGGCGTTTCCACTCGTGATCTTGTGTGGATGCATGACCGAGCACCTTCAGCTAGATGAGTCCATTAAGACTAATGTGGTCAGCATCCAATGCCGAAAACTTACAGAGGTATTTATTTTGGGGATTTATCTACCGCTACAACACGAACAAAAATCCACGATTGCAGTCAATTCAAGCAAGAAACTCAAAAATAGGAGGAAGTCAACTCGGCATCCTCAATTACCAAATATCAATTTTAGAAAAGAGAGATGTAGTTTAGGATAAACAAGAAAATTCAGTGAAACGTAATGAAATAAATTTTAATAAGAAGTAAATAGTACCTTGAAAATTCTAATCAAAATATTAACAAGAAGTACAACTGAATGTATGACGTCGTTTAAATCAAAACAGTGTGTACGTGAAGGAATCATCAAACATAAAACTTCTATGAAACGATCTTATAAATGTGACGTATCTACGTATGTATATGTTAAGCCACAATATATAAACATATGATGCGTACATATTTAGTTAACCACACTTGAAAGCATTATACGGTAATACTGGCCCCAAGCCCACATAAAAGAGGAGGGTTGATTTTTGGAAAAGAACCCCATCCCGTAGAAAACAAGCTTGCCAAATAGTACTAACTAGAAAAAAGTCATTTGAATCGACTAAACGCTGTCCTAGGGGTTGAAATATCTGTTACAGGAGAACAGAAGACGTTTGGCTGATTAAAAACCTTTATATTGAGTATTAATAGTTTTTCTGTGTTTTTGAATATGTTAGTTTTACTCAACCTTTGAACTTGTTTGTTTATATCTTTATCTTCGGACATGTTGGTTTGTCTATGGTTTGGTATTTGGAAGTGATTGCTCCGGGAACCTAAGAATTTGAAGGGTTGTTTTGTAATTGTTATAATTATTATTAGAACGATATTTGGGTCGACTATTTGTAAATTGCGAATAGACTTTGGTACCTAAATCGAAGCTTGGACCTATTGTCAATTTAGGTTCGTAAATTGCAGATAGATACCGTACTTCAATAAAGGAAGCGAGCGAAATCTTGAACGTAACATAAAGTTCTTCAATTAGTGGTTCTATATTCTTCATACTTTGGATTTGTTTGGACTTTCATTTTGGGTACAATTTCTTGGTTCTGTTTGTCGATTTCTTTTGGATTAACTCAGATTTGACTTGGTAACCGACTCTTTGGAACGTCATACAATGGAAACGAGAAGTAAAAGTTCGAAGGAGAATGCCGCTTGTGGTGTGTTTAGTGTTAACGATGACAAAAATGATGTAAGCATTAACAGTATGTTTTCTGATCAACTTAGTGCTTCTAGATTGAAGTTAGGTTTGGCATTACTTAGGAAGAAGAAATCAGAAAAGAAACTTGAATTGGAAAGGTGGCTTAAGATGTTAGATCTTCAAGTAGCGGTTTATATGGCTGAATTAGAATGTAAGGTCATGGAGGAGGATAACCAGATGCCCGTAGATAAAAGTGAGATAAATGCTAAGGTGAAAGGGTATTTGGATGATGACACTGGTTGTATTAATCATTCAAGGGAGATATTTAACATTTTAAAAGGCGATTGGATTGATGAGTTGAGTTATACGTTAACTACAATGGTTAGTAATATGGTTTTAACTAAGATTGATATAACGTATTTTGTTGGACAACCGGGCCAGTACCACCGTTTCGTTAGATCTTATAGATTAGGCAGTTACATCATAAAACATCTACAATTTTAGGATTAGGTCTATTATTAGAGCAGTACAAATATCGAAGTAGATCATAATTCTATATATATATATATATATATATATATATATATATATATATATCTGCATCTGCTGCAGACTGTAACCCACATACGAAAATAAGGCATTTGAATTGATCTGATGACATTTCTTGTAAACGGAACCGTTCACATTCCCGGTTCACAATGCTTGTATATGTCATGTAATCGTCCTGAGGTTTTTTTACAAGCTGAAGACACTGGAATCTAGTATGAAAAACTGAAGATCGTTCTCCAAATATGCGTGTCAGGCACTCAACTGTTTCTGTGAAGGTTTTGTCGGTTGGCTTTTTTGGAAGGATAAAATTACAGAACTTTTCGTGTTCCGACACTTCGAGCTTACGTAATAATAATCTCAATTTTGAGCCTTCATCCCACTCTTTACAATCAGTAATAAATAAATCCTCATGGCGTTTAAACCATGCTTCAAAAGTAATTCCACGTTCTTGATCAAATCTAAATTCATCTATTGAGTTCGCAATAAAATTCGGAGTCATAGTGGGATTAGATACATTGGTTCTTGATGATATTGACATAATTTTTCACCAATAATTCGATAAGAGAATTTTGCTGTTGTAATAAGATTTTCAGATCATCCATTTTATTATAAAATTCACTTTAACTGAATATGTAGACGTAGAGCCGTTTTAAACACCGTGGGCAATTGCTATAACTTTTGGTTTGTACTTTAGGTTCGTTGTTTTTTAACCAGTCGCCAATTGTTATAACGTTCCGTCGTTGATTGTTATAACGCTCGGTATTACTTTGTCTGATGTTGTAATGCTTAACGATTATCTACACTAGATCCCTCCCAGTGCCTATCCTACAGGACTTCAACACAACTCAGATCAAGAACACGTAATCAGCCTGACCAGAACGTAATATATTTCACACCCCAAAACCTGACACAATCCACAACAATGAACAATCAATGATAAGATGTATATAGGAGTGTGTCACAATAATAAGGGTAAGGGAATATATAACTTATCTGACACCTGTCAGACTGTCTACATGTCTGACTAAGCAGACAACCAATCACGATCGTTCTCGCCCACACAACAGTTTGATTCCCACGTCTATCATATTGCCGAACTCGTTTTAGCCAACTTCAGCTTTTCGGGAGCTAGTCGGTGTGCTTTAGACATTACAAATGGTCTTTTAATCGTGCTATAGTGTCCAACATTGCCAGTTATACATGGCAATTCCGGCTGCGTTTCTTGCATCTCAGGGTAATCATCGACTACTCGTTGCTTGTATGCATCGATCGCGTGTTTTACTGTGACTGGGGATGGTCTACAAATGGAAATTGGAGTTACAAAACCAGATAAATTGATATTTCTGTCTACTAACCTCCGTTTGCGAGTGTCGGTGAGTAGATTATGGTGTTGTAGCAAGTCTATACCAATGATTGGGATAGAAACATCGGCAACAACGAAGATTCAATGGACGGGTTTGCGTAAACTCACGTAAAGATAAACTTTGCTTGCCATATATGGCGATCAGTTACCCATCCGCCTCCTGTAAGCTAAGCTGTTTCACACAGCCGGTCGTTATAATTCGCTGGAAGTACGCTGACCTATGTGCCAGTGTCGATAAGGTAAAGAACTTTCGTGACCATATCAGTGATGTGTAACAGACGACTATGACCGTCGGTTATGGTCAACGCGTGCAGGCTGAGAAGCTTCCCGAATTGTTTTGCGTGACGATCGATTTGGGGGTTGGAAAACTGCATGTTTTCTGCAACTTCGAGAAGATTTTCCGTACTGATTATGATACCAGAGCCAATAAGGGTTATCTGTCTCTCGTGATCTAGAGATAGATCGTCTTCGTGAAGTGCTCCTTCGTAGAGTTTAGGAACGTCATGATGAATAATAAACCAACGTGCCAGAGCATGGAAGAGTTCCGCAACTTCATTTCGTGTCATTTGAGGTTTTCCTCTGATTGACAAAACCTCGGCGTTAGACGTTTAGGTGATCTCTAGAATTCTGTCGACAGATGCAGCCAGTTCTTCTACAGCGTTGTGTCGAGGTGAGACAAGCACTGCCTGCACCTGTTGAGGAAGCCTAAACAAGAAAAGTTGTCTAAACAGGTCCTCGTCAGTAACCTCTCGCATTCGTAACAACATTTCTGTTGCTAAACCGTGTTGTAGGTCGATGTTATTGAAGAGTTGATTTAACCTTTGTCGATCGGTCAGACCTCCACATTTAAGAACAGACCTTTTTAGAGTTTCATAGATTTCGAAACTCCGTCTGTAGCTCTTCTAGAGTTACTGCC